TTTTTTTCAGTGCATAAATGATAGTCCAGTAAAATGAAAAAAAGTAACAATTTAATTATGCGAGGTGAACATGCTAATACATTTCATAACATGTAGAAATATGATTCATAACCATGCTAGAAATTAAGAATGAAACGAATTTATTTCATACTTGGGATCAACTGGAGAGTAGTCGAATGGTGAGCGTCACGTGCCAAGTGTTCTTATAACATTATTAGTTTTTTTAAAAAATTACATTATCCTTTAAACTTCCCATTTTTTTAAAAAAATAATTTGACTATAATTATTTATGAATTTCTTAGAATAGAAAAAGTCAAGAAATAAAAGTTCCTAACAATAGTATCATTATTTAAAATCACGTTATAAATGGTTATTTAAACAAAAACATATAATACATACATATACATCTTTGAAAATAAAATCATAGTAATAACACATAAGTACTAATAAAGCCACATAACAACCACTTATATTATAAAAATTAATATTTACTTAACGTAATTGTCGACTAACATTTGAAAGATTTGTTTCGAAGTATGTATACAATTACATATTAATTAAGGCATGTAATCCCATTTTACATAAAAAAAAATTTACAAAATCCCATTTTCATTAATTAAGGTATGTAATCTTTTTTCTTTTTTTTTTTTGTACATGTGTATATCTTTTAGTAAAATTTTCTCAAAATAGAAGTTTGAAAATTTTGAATTTTCTTAAATTTAGAATTGCCCAAAATATTGTCTTTCATCTTGTCGATTTGAATAACGCACAATTAAAAGACTTTTAGATAAGGAGGGGGGTCACAGACGGACCGCTTAAATCCCAAGCTTTTCTTAGACAGTTTAGATCTTTTTGACAAAACCTTTCAATTTTGCAATTACGCAATTCAACAAAATTCAAACAATAAATCGAATGTAAAATCTCTTAAAATATCAATTTTTTCAAAGGTGCATTTTTTAAAACATCCCCAAAGACTAAAGTTAAAACACATAAAAATTTATCACATGTAAGATTTAAACCATAGGTATGAAACTATAACAATTTAAATTCTAAACTACTATTACTCGAAATCAATTTAAACAATCATTTATTCTTCAAAATAAAGAGACAAATGCATAAAAATAAATAGGTATTGATGTGAATGGTAATCCAAACTACTACAAAATGAGACAAAATCTATAACAACCAAAAAAAATTTGCAATATTCAAAGTACGACACATCATATTTAAAATCCTAGAACTCTTTGTCATGTCATGTAAAACAAAACAAAAAAATTTGTCTTACTATTCATGTGAACAGTAACTGTACTATTACTGTTCAAATTTTTTTTTACTGGTCATGTGAACTGCTCCAGAAATTTATTATTATTTTTTTTTTCAAAAACAAGTCTACAAGAGAGTCAAATCGTGCTCCGATATCAAGCTGTAATGCCCCAATTTTCTAAATGCGAGATTTATCACATTCTTGAGTCAATCTAGCTATCGCAATAGTCTAACTAATGTAACATCAGCATGGATGTTGAAAGTTACAATTAAGTTACTTTGCCAGAATTTTTTTAACATAATGGTTGACATCTTCTCATAACGATGAGCCTCGCTGAATAAAAAAATTCAAAAAAGAAGTGGGCCCCCTCCTATTGTGTGTGTTAGTCACCCATTATGTCAAAAAATTCAGTCATCACAGCATTGTTGTGAAAGTTGAAACTAACAAATGACGACGTGTATTTTCACATTACATAACAATTTCACATCACTCGGGTTAAAACACACTTTCAAAAAATGCTCAAACAAAAATACAATTTTTTTGTCCTTTAAAAAATGAACCACAGAGAAGAAAAAGATATTAATTGTTTTTCATCATTCTTCATACACATCAACGCTCTATTAATTTTTAGCACCCACGTCAACATAAACGTTCATTAGACTAATGGCACGCATATGAAAATTAAGTGGCATGATTGCTTCGAAATTAAGCATGAATTACTTAGTTGTATGTTCATTGAAAGTTTAATGATGGACGATATGTCTCACATCACGTTCTTCAATGTAGATTGATGTTTTAGCACCATCACGACTGCTCTTATAATGTCAATACCTGATTGATTGATTTTGTCCAAAAAAAAGTCAATATCCTATTCTACGATATGTAAATAAATCAAAATTTAAAATCCCATAAAATTACCTTGAAACAAGCTAGTTTTTGAGAAACAAGTCGGTTGTGCTAATTTGTCGTTTAGAAGTAAGAACTTTTTTATTTTTATTTTTATTTTTGTTATTTTAATTTTTGCCACCGTTTCAACCGTGGCTCAACATTTTGAGTATTTACATGGAAAATTTAAAATCTTTGTTGCTTTTTGTTTCTATTGGCTAGACAATAATGGAGATAAGATTTTAATTTATTTTTAGTTATGCTTTATGGTGTTTGAACATTGACGGAATATTCTTTTAATCCAAGGTGATGCATTAAGCCCTTAATAGCAAAAAAAAAATTGGAGAAATTATACAAAGAAGATAAGCCTATGTTTGATTCTCATTAATATTAGATTTTAATGAGTTTGCAAAAATTTCAAGAGTACTTTATTATGTAAAATTTCTACAAGAAATGACATTTGATAGAAATCGTGATTCAAACAGGACACCCGTTGAAATTTATTTTTACCTATTCTATCCTTAACTTTCGAATTGACATTACGAATTTAGCTCACCATTCATTCTCCCCATAATTAGCCCTTGCTGAAAAGTTACTTTAATTTATTTTTCATATTCATTTTCAAATACACATTCACGTAATTAAATATTCTACACGTAAGTTAAAAAAAAATCTAATTTTTAGGTACACATTCTCAAAAATATAATATTTAAAAAAGTTTTTTCAAACTACAGGCTACCACGTGATTCAAACAGGACACCCGTTGAAATTTATTTTTACCTATTCTATCCTTAACTTTCGAATTGACATTACGAATTTAGCTCACCATTCATTCTCCCCATAATTAGCCCTTGCTGAAAAGTTACTTTAATTTATTTTTCATATTCATTTTCAATTACACATTCACGTAATTAAATATTCTACACGTAAGTTAAAAAAAAATCTAATTTTTAGGTACACATTCTCAAAAATATAATATTTAAAAAAGTTTTTTCAAACTACAGGCTACCAAACAGGATTCAACCCCAAATCTCTTTAAACAATGCATATCTAGGGGGTATATATAGAAGGATTAAGTAATTTGTACATTATTTGGTTGGCATTATTGTTGACACTTCATTCATTTTCAAATTGCAATTAGCAGGAAAGTGTGTTGCATTTAAAAACTATCCACTCATGAAAGGACACGTGGCACAATGTGAAGGAAGATGTCAAACAAAGTGTACATATAGCATGATCCCACTGCTTGCAGGCCCACATAATTTGAATTGAAAATGAATTTTTGTGAATTTTAATGGTCTCAAACAGGAGCTAATTGTTTTCTATTAATGCATAAAGTAGAATGACTCCTTTGGCTAAAGTAGAAAATAAATAACTCTCTTATAGTAAGTTTTAAAATAAAAAAATTAACTCTCTCTTACTGACAAAACATTAAGTACTTATAAGTAAGAAAATAACATGTAAACCAAACAGGTCATAATAATGAAATTTCAAATTGACCTCAAAAATCAATTTATCTTTCTTTTAAACCGTCCAACCAACCATAGAATAGGCCAGTGACCAAAAAGCAATGATGTGATGAAAGCGATTTAGCAAGGGCGGGCCGCGGCCCCCTACCTCCGTTGAAACACGTTATAATTAGCTGTCAATTAAGTCGCATTTTGCTATAAATTACTATTAATTAGATCCATTCGTATTAGTTTTGTAGCATCTACCGTCTTAAATCTTTCAGTTATCAATTCGTGTTGATAATCTCAGCCAATATTAATTACCTAGTAAACAGATGAATTTTGATCTATGGAATTTTACATTTACCGATCAAAAATAAAAATATCGAACTAAATAACGTTTAAGAGAGAATTATAAAAAAAAAAAAAGGTCGAATAAAATTGTAAAATAATGATTTTCATTCGGCAAAGTTGTGGGTCTGATTCCATTCCCAAAAGATGGATGCTCAAAGTATTTCATCGGCCTAGGTTGGTAAATAGCTCATCCGTCAGCAGCAAACAAACAACAGTTGATACAGCTAGCCTACTTCCTTCAAAATAATAATAATAATAATAAAATAAAAAATGGTGCACCTTTTAAGCTCAGCTTAAATTTCCAGCATCGAGACAGCATGGAAGAGAGAACTCCAAAAAGAAACACTAGATTGATAGCAGAAATTCAATTAAAAATAATGTGAAGTTCTACATCCATCCATCCATCATCTGGTGCAACTTTTCAAGTTGAAAACATAACATGTCATTAATGCCTGCCTAAGCGATTCACTGAACATCCACAAATCTAACTAGGATTTACGGCCAATATGTTAAAATGACCCGCCTTTTCTTTCAACCTACTACCAGCCAGGAGTTCCAGCTTCGTCTCGAGCCGGAGTAGGACCCTTGTTCCAACCTGAAGCTCCAGTTTCATCTCGAGCTTTACTACTGTCTGTGTTCCAGCCTTGAGTTTCAGATACGTCTACAGCTGGAGTACGTTCTGTGTTCCAGCCTGGAGTTCCAGCTTCAGCTTGATGGCCTGCGTTCCAGCCTTGATTTCCAGATTCATCCGCAACCGGATTACGCTCCTGGCTCCAGCCAGGAGTTCCAGCTTCTTCTGGAGCCGGAGTACGATCCGGGCACCAGCGTGGAGTTCCAGCTTCATCTGGAGCAGGTGTACGATCCCGTTTCCAGCCGAGAGTTCTAGCTTCACTTGAGGCAGAACCACGATCCTTATTCCAGCCAGTACGAGCTTGCTGCCTTCTATAATACTTGGGAATAAAAGCTTCGGCCTTGTCGGGATACTTTTCCTTGAGGAAGTTCTCCACACATTTACGGTAGGAAAAATCTTGCTTTGCACCGTCAACAGAAACTGCATAGAAGCACCTACTATCCTGGAAATCCTGGTGCCTACTAACCTGTTAAATCAAGTCCTGAAATTAGCTTAAAACAAGCAGCTAAAAATAATTAGAAAAACAGAAAGGGAAAGAAGCAAGGCAGTCGACTGCAATGTTGCTTCAGTATACCGAGAGACATACATAATGAGGGTACATCACACGAAGAAACCATCTCAATCTCAAGCATGTTAAATATATAATTCGTTTTATTTTGTCTACAACAAAGAACGTGTAATTTGTTAAAAATTTTGCTCAGAACTTACGAATGCACATGTTTGCAACTGTAAACAAGTTAGTATGTAAATGAAATCATAGGATATATCAAAATAGATTCAAGTTTGGTTCATCTATTCTGATGTCAATAATATCATAAACATTGAAAGCTCATGACTCAAGAAGAAAGACCTAATGAATTATATATGAAACATTCCAGAAAATATATACATAACAGACATTTAACCGAATAATGCAGAACAAATTAGAATACCATGATATGCTTTAATCCGGCTCCCATTTTTGCAGCTTTATCAGGATGGTAATTCAACACATTGTCCACCATGTATGATTGATCATCCCCCGATATAGGATCACCATCATTGTACCTTCACACAAAATTTACTTGGTTAGATTTCAGATTCATATTTTATCAGTTTGCCCTAACAAGAAATCAAAACCATCAAAACCCCAAAATCTTAGTAAAAAACTTGGTCAAAGGTGCTCCACTATAGTAATTCGTACCCTTTTTCTTTCTTCTTTTAAACCTTTCCAAGAGAACAACATAATGGAAGAAACTCATTCAGAAAATTGAAAATATCAGTTCATAAATCAAAAAATGCAAATTTATTGTAACCTGAAAAAGATCAATGGAGGAATTTGTTTCACATGTGCACAAGCATTATTTCTACTCAATGGCAGTAGTGGAATATTTATATCAACTCAGATAAATTTTCAAGAATTCTCCAGCCTATACTAACAATACTACCATAAATTATGAGACAACAACAACGAAATGCAATCTTATTTTTCAATAAATCTGAGTTTGGCTATATGAATTTTCTTTTCTACTCCGTTGGGTCTATCACTACATAATATCATTAATCATGAAAAACAAAACGATAATAGAGCATATATTTTCCTTTGTTTTTCATATCATCATTGCACATAATATTATCTCCAAAAGCACCAAAAACTGTAAATAATATTATAATTTGAAGGCCGAGAATCAAATCAAGAAATTACCCTGTTTGGTTCATAATTCTTCTGATATTCTTCATAATTGCTTCAACATCTGAAAGAATGTCTTGTTCCTCCACGGTGAATAAATCCATGCGCTGCCTCGTCACTGTGAAGGTTCCAAGTGCACTGAAATCATCAGAAGCATCTTGTCTGCCACCAGAGCGACCCCTACCTCTATTGTTCTTCCAGTCTCCACCGGAGCGACCCCTACCTCGGCCTCTGTTTGAATCTCCTCTACCAGCAAAAGGTCTACGAGGGGTAAAACCAGAGTCATTTGGCTCTTTTGGACTGGGATTCCAATTACTAACAGGAGAATCTTTCTTTGCTTCCCTGGGAGATTGTGAATCAACCTTACCCCAGTCAATCGAAGAGGCCCAAGCATTAGAAGGCTTTGACTGACTGCCTTGGCCAGCCACTTTAGCTTCCCATAGATTTTCATTTGAAGGCAACACATCAATAGAGTCTCCATCAGCTGTAGAAATCAAGCGATCAGACTCTTTACCACTTTCATCGGATTTTGCAATTTTCTTACCCCAAGAAGACCATGAACCTGATCCAGCTTGTCCACCATCAGAACCCAATGCGTCCCAATCTGTAGCCCGTGAAGAATCCTCCTGAGCTTTTACAGGGATAACATTTTCCGTCTGAGCTGCATCCTGGCCCCAGCTGGACTTATTATTATCCTTTTGTGTACTCGGAAAGGCCCAACTACTTTGGTCTTTCTTCTTATTCCAACCCGATTCATCTGACTCTCTGCCCCAGCCAAACTGACTGCTTGACTTCGGTGTGCCAGCATTAGCCAACGTATTTCGATCATCCCTTCCGCTCCAATCCTTCTCACCAGAAGATCTGACCCAGTTGGACGGATTTTTTTGCTTTGTTGTACTTGCATTTGACCAATTATTCTGATCATCTTTTTCCATCCAACCTTTTCCCTCAGAATCTTGCTTCTCACCCCAAGCAGAAACGGATACTGACTGCTCTTCTTGAATCTGTGTCGGGCGACTATCTTCTGTAAGAACATCCTTGCCCCAATTGAACTGACCACTAGATTTGGATGCATTTGCACTAGCCCAAGTACTTTTTTCAGCCTTTTCTATACGATCCTTTTCAACAGAATCAACCTTTTTACCCCAAGCAGACCTATTATCCTTTGGATAATATTCTTGTTCCTTTTCAGAGAATGTATCGTGCTTCTCACATTTATCAAGACGCCAACCAGTAGTAGTTGGGCTTTGGACTTTCTCAACTGCCTGCGCCCAACTGCCGTTCAAGTTAGCATCCTTCCCATCTTTCTCACTTTTATCAACACCCCAGCCAGGAGTTGAGCTTTGGACTTTCTCGAGTGCCTGCCCCCAACTGCCATCCAAGTTAGCATCCTTCCCATCTTTCTCAACCCCCCAGCCAGAAAGTGTAGGACTTTCGGCTTTCTTTACCTGATCCCAACTACCACTATCTTTGTCAGTTGTAGATGTCTGTACCCATTCATTCTCATCAGGAGCAAAACTATTGCCATCTTCAAATGTTGGCTTTTCAGTACCAGAATCTCGGACTGGAGACAGGTCAAATTCCATATATTCATCTTCCTGATCCAGATAATCAATTTCTTCACCAAGGCAACTAGTACCCATATCTTCCTTGTTGGAGCTACTGCTTACCAAATGAAGAAAATCATAAACATTCAGTCCATTTTGTTGATTCAACTCAGCCTAGCAAAAAAATAGATTCAGACATTAGTCTCGTTGATTATTTCTAATGTAAACCACTGAAGAAAAAATTCTACACACTACCAAACAAATGCTTATACCACCAAAAAGGAAAATAAAATGATATCAGGAACTAATAACAAGTGAACCCACCTTTCTAGTGTCCCAAAGTATTTCAAATGGCGATCCTGTGCCAACAGACACATGTTTTCCCCAGGAACAAGAGGCCACGATGCTCGTCAAAGCATCAACATGGCACTTTTCAGCAGCTCTTTCAAAGCATTTTCTCGGGGTCTGAAGCAGAGACAAGATAAAAGATACGTTAGCAAGACAGATAACAAAAAATAGGAATGACACAATCCATATCACAAAACAGAAATGTTCTTACAAACAGTGTAGCCTCTGTGAATGGTACTTGGAGATTAAGCGATCTTGATAATGATTTAATACCACCGGCGTTAAAACCAATCAGATTGCCACCACATGTCATGCTATTGGCCAACAAAAGAAGATGATCTTTCAACACGCCTTTTGTAACCATCGTCACTGATGTGGACAGACGCTATAAATTAAGACTAAAGGTTAACCCTCTGGAAAGAAGAATAAAGAAATCTAAACAAATGAAAACATACAACCAAGACTAAAATTTATTAGCTAGACCAAAATATTACACAGTTATATTATTGCTACAAAACTCTAAAACTGACTTAACAACAAAAAACTACACAATTATGAATCTGAAGCTATTGTAATAACACTGATATGAACCTAGTGAGAGACAAACACAATTTCAAGCCATTGTTCTGGGACAAAGGCATCTACACTGAACAGTAATGTAGAAACTACCATTCTCAAAACTATTGAATTACAGCAGAAGAATAAAGCGTAAAGCCACCTTTTGAACACAGAGACATGATGACATCATCTGATTATACTTTTCCTCAAGAATGCTAAATGAATCATTTGCAAAAGCGTAATTCATTGGGTAGAAATTCGGCTATGCAACGTTCATGTGAAGAACAAAACAAGAAGATAGCTTTGAATAGGCTATTTTAAATGGAACGACAATAATAACACAGAAGATCCCAAGTTGTCAATGTAATGTAAGTGCGGTAGTTGATGTAAGTACTAAATTTATTTATCTTCGAATATATGAGAACATTTTTTAAACAAAACTTCCTAACTTATTATTTGATAAATTTTATCACTATTATAGGTTGACTATTAAATTTAGTAATATTCAAATATACTAAAATATAATTTTAGTAAAATCTAAGTGAAAAATAGCCATGATGCACCAACACGGATACGTATCTAAAACGAGTACTGGCACAACATGTTGTCGACACGTTAATTAAAATCTTTAAAATTATTTATTTATATAGAATTTTTTTATTTTTTTTTTTTTATTTTTTTTTTTTTACGTGTTATTAATTTTTCTTGTTTAAATCATTTAA